GCATCAAAGATAATTTTGTTTACTTTTAATTTAATTTTGTTAGCGACCCTTCGAGTAATTTTTGTTTGCGTGAAAGGAAGTAATCAAGGGGTCACACCGTCGTGTTACTATGAATCAACATTATATTAGGTTTTAATCACACCTTATCTATTATAAACATACTTCTGCTAACGGAGTCGATTATTTGAAACCATTTACTTTATAATTATGGTAATTACCGAACTTATCAAAGTATATTATTTGAGTGATACTACAGTTTACTTTTTTAATTACTGTTATTTATTTTATTAGTAAATTATGTGTAATTCTGTTGCTTTTATTCTGAATTATTTAGATATTATGAGTCAATTCTGTCAGTATTTAAAAACTATATTTATACATGAAAAAATAGCGAATTTGTTATTTTTTTGCTAATTTCTATCGATCTTAAGACTCACTTTAACATTTTCATTGATTAGTGGATACAAAAAGCAATGAACAATATCTTCAGAAGAGTTATTTTAATATAACGTGAAATATCTGAGAAATATAACTCTTTAAGAAAAACGACTCACAATGTAAAAAGTAATCATTACATGGATGTCACTTAATTTTTTCAGCTATTTATTCCACATTGCGAAATGTCATGCGAATAAATCTTTTTCCTCCACAACGAAAACCATTCATAATTCAAGAAATGTCGCCAATCGGTCGTAACGAACTCGCTATATATAAGTACATAAATTGTTAATTTTTTTACAAGCTTTTATTTTACTTACTTGGTTTGTCTATCTGGTTCAAAATATGGAAAAATAAATATTATTTATTGCACAACAAATTTACGAGTATATGACACTAACAACTCACGTAGTTACGTTAAATCGTAATCTTAAGTATTGTAAGGCCCGTAAGTTACATAGGTCTTGCTTTGTTGACCTAGGATTTAGTGAAAACGAGCAAACAGTACATCACTATTTATACATAAATAATATAAAATATTTTGAATATCATAACATTCAATTTCATTTTCAATTCATTCAGAACGTATTGCAAGATAAATATCTATACATATAATAAAATTCTCAGTCGAATCTGTACATTAAATATATTTTGGAAAATCTTATTGAAATAGTCATAGTTATTGATACAGAGGCCTAATATATAGTTTTTAGAATTTTTGTCTCCCTGTGAACGCATCACGAGAAAACCACTGGATAGATTTTCATGGAATTTGGTATTATGATAGCTGCTTATCCGGGTCAACATATATGATACTTTTAATTCAAGGAACGAACCTGAGCAGAACGAGGGTAAATCGCTAGTATAAAATATTTTGAATGTCATACAACCACTACCAAAATGATGAGCAAAGAAAGTATTGCAATAAGAGTATTTATTATAAAGTAATATATTCTATAATATCAGACAGAATTCGTTATTTACGGCACACTATTTAACCGCATGCAAAACAATAACGCAACCAAGGTGGGAACATAAATCTGGGCTTTTCTTTCCAGCAGAAATATCAAGAACATTTTGGCCATATAAATTGTGTGAATATGGCTGCCATTGGAACGCGATATTTATGGGTTTGACGTCATATTAGATACCATCTTCCAATATATGAAATTTAGTATCTTATTGTTTATCTATCCTAATTTAGTACTGCTAGAAAACTTAAAATTATTTCTTGTAGAAATATATTTTCTTAGAATTCATATTTTTGTTTATAACATTTTGTTAGTAAAATATAGTATATACATTATACATAGTAGCAGAAAATGATTGTTTTATGTATTTGCTCTATTAATAGGTTTCTTCAAGAAGATACCACTAATTTATCACATTACTAGCATTACCAAAAAAGTCTATCCCTCGGGATCCGTAACATTTCTCCCGAATAAAAAATAACCTATGTTCTATTCCAGACTATAATCTATCTCTATGTTGAAGTTCATCCAGATCCGTTCAGCCGGTCTAGCATGATTGAGTAACAAACATCCATCCAAATATCCAAACATCTAAACTTTCACATTTATAATATTAAGTAAGATAAGATTAACTAGGTTGTATCATATATATATATATATATATATATATATATATATATATATATATATATATATATATATATATATATATATATATATATATATATATATATATATATAATATTCGTTTTATAACTATCATCCACGTTCTCTAAACGTAAAATCTTTTTAAAATTAGTTCCCCCGTTTCACAGATTAGTAGTAACAAATAGACAGAAAGAAAAAAATATTGTTTGGGCTTTGGTATCGTGTTTGATGCTTAATATGGGGATTAGACGGACAGTCTCATTTGTAAGTAGTGTACTTATTTATAAGCCAGCTTTTTTTTATAATTTCATAAAATTCTAGGCTTAGACTTATAAATTTCTAATTCAATTAACTCTCCTTTATAAGTCCTGTCAAAAAGTTCATTCGACTTCTATTACATTCTACACAAAAGAAATATTCAAAATACATTATAAATGAAAAGCTTTGACCCACTTATAATTTATTATTTACATAGAGTACTATATACAGAGTATTAAGTATTGTTCTTAGTAAACTTTCCCCAAGTTCACGTGAAATATGAAGCTTTCCTCACAAATATAATATTTTACGGTGTTCTTGAAAAGATGAAACTTCATAATTAAGCACGAAGAAGGTACATCCATACATTAAATTTGAAACAAAGTATTTATTTATATGAATATTCCTGTTTTTCACTACAAATTACTACCTACTTTTCCATTATTCTTCAAAATATTCTTTTATATTAAAATTTTGATCTTATGTAATGTTTCGGTGATTAGAGCACGATCATTGACGACACGTTTGGCTCAGTTTGTAGTAACCCTACTTGTTGTGCCAGCGGTCGCGGGTTCGGGTCCCGCTGGGGGCATTCATTTGTGTGAAGACCACAAATGCTTGTACTCCAGTCGTGGGTGTTTATTTATAATATGTATGTATTTAAAGTTATATGTATGTAGTGTATCAACTATCTGGTATCCATAACACAGGCCTCGTAGCTTACCATGGAACTACATAGATGGTACTGTGTATTAATGTCCCAACATATTTGTATAATATTTAATATTATATGTATATATTTAATACTAGCGGCTCACCCTCGCTTAGCTCGGTTTCGCCTCTAGGAAAACAAACACAAACCTATCCCACGGGAACGGTACATTTTTCTGGGATAAAAGTAGCCTATGTATTATTCCAGACTATAATCTATCTCTGTGCCAAATTTCATCCAGATCCATTTACCCGTCCTGGCGTGAAAGAGTAACAAACATCCATTCATCCATACTCACAAACTTTCACATTTATAATATAAGTATACATTATTATTATAATTTTTGGTTTATTCTTATACATTGGTAGAGTAGTGACTAGCATGTAGGACCGCACATCCGGAGGTCCTGGGTTCGAGTCTCAGGTCGGAACAAGTTCAGTGCCTTTCTGTTAAGAAAGTCCCAATGACAGCACGGATTTGGTAAATTGACGTGTATTACCCCCGTACCTCGGAAAGCCCATTATGCCGTTAGTTCTGTGCCTGATCTCTCACTATGTCGTGTCGAATTATCACCCCATCGGAATTTGAGATTAACAAGAATAGAGAGTTCACTTATGTCTGCGCGTACACTTGTGCTCTATAATATTGCCTGCGCAGTTGGCTAGTCTCAATGAGATTGGCCGCCGTGATTGAAATCGGTCGGGAGAACATCATTATCATCATTTGTGAATAAAAGTATAAGTAAATATTGTAGTGCTCGTATAAAGTGACTCAAGATCAAATGAAATAAAGAATTACGTTTAAGTACCGGAGGCTTATGAGCTCTACAAAAGAAAATGAGTGAAAATAAAGATAAAATAATTTAGCTCATTAGCGTTGAAAACATTTTGAGTTTACTTTTTATGTCCTAAACGACTAAGATTTTAACTATATTATTATCATTATCAAGAAGTCTCTGTAAACTTTAATTGTACATTACTAGCAAGTCACCCTCGCTTTGCTTCGGTTTGTACCTACAAAAGACTAATCTATCCCACGGGAACCGTAAATTTTTCCGGGATGATATATAACTTTTATTAGCCTTCCTCAATAAACGGGCTAGCTAATGCAAAAAAAATCTTCAAAGTACTTCCTGAGATAAGCGCGTTTAACAAACAAAAAAAGTCAAAAGATAGATGAAGAATTTCCGAAGAAGTGTGACATGCATACTCGTAATATTAATAATAGGATCAAATACAAATTTGTACTTGTAACTCGAATCGGTAATTTTTTTCATGGACATTGTATACAAAAAATGGCAGGATCCCAGAATATGTCGAAAAAGCTTCCATTGCCAAATTCATAAAAATTATATAATAAAATTCTGAGTAGAATCTATACATTAACATTTTTGTGGAAAATCTTATTGAATTAGTCATTGTTATTGATACAGTGGCGTAATTTATAGTTTTTAGAATTTTTTTCTGTCTGTCTGTCTGGGAACGCATCACGAGAAAACCACTGGACAGATTTTTATGAAATTAGGCTTGATAGCTGGTTGGTTATCCAAATCAATATATAGGATACTTTTTACTGCGGGAAAATATCTCATCTCTGACAAATCTATACTAACCAACCTAGGGACAGTTATACAATGACTGATTTTATAGAAGATGGCACGCCTTGAAAATGATGTGATCGCCTCCAGGCTATTATAATGTTGTAATTATAGTAATTTATAATTTAACTTACAACAAAAGATAAAAATATAATTTCAGTCCCGCTCAGTTCTCTCCGCCAGTTCTTCTCAGGTCTAAGTTTTCTTCTTTCTGAACTGGTAGTAGATTCATGAAGTTCAGGGAAAAAATTAATAATATAGTGCTATTTCAAAATATTTTTTAAATACCTGTAATAGATTTAAGTGCTCAAAACCACTTTTTAGCACTCTATCAAACATACATATTTATAAACTTTAAAACATGTCTTTGTTACAGTATGTGAATTTGTGGAAGGACAAATCTAAAATGGATAAGATCGATGAAACCTCCGAATATAAGACCGGAAGCTTTAGCAACATGCTGACTGTCGGTCTTCACAACGTAAAACCTATGTTTCACAAACCCCTTGGGTTGTACGCTTTACTGTTCTGCACGACGAATTTCTTTATTATGAATATGTAAGTATTTATAAATAGATTATTATTTTTATGGAATAAATAACAAAATCTTTTTTTTAAATAGAGGGAATACATTGAAATTACCTCTTATCTTACGGTGAAGGAAATCATCGTGAGGAAACCTGCATGTCTGAGAAAACCTAGCAAGTTTTCGAAAGACATGTGAAGTCCGCCAACCCGTACTTGGCCTGCGTGGTGGACTATGGCCTGATCCCCGTTGTACAGAAGGGAGGCCCGTGCCCAGCAATGGAACGTTAAAAAGTTCTGAATACAATTGAAATTAGAAATATGCTTAATTACATATAAATTATTAACAATATGGGAAAAGTTGAACAAACTTCATAAACAGTTTAAAAGTTATTATTGCAATCTAAGCGGTAGAGCTTTTTTAATGTAATTTATACGAAAGCATGATTGAGTTATATCAAAAATACTGTTAATTATATATTGATTACTATTACTAATTATTGTTTACAACGACCAAACTTTTTTTTGGAAGTTTGTCAGAATTGGTAAACAGACAGTTAACTTATGGCCCAAGCTTAAATGGCCTCATAATTTTGAGAGAGTCTCAAAGTCATGAGATCTCTCTGTCTGAGCTTTAACAGAGGATTAAAAAAATAATCATTGTTGTACCAATTTCTCTAATATATTCTAAGCTTTTCTTATTTAAGTCGAGCTAGCAGTATAAGCATTTGGCTAAATGAAATATAAATAAATTCCTTCACGAAACGTAATTGAAATCTTAATCGAAATTATCTATTCGTTCATCTTCACGCTGTATTCCTTACGAATAAAATAGGATAGAAGTAAATAACTCATTCCATCTTAATAACGATCTGCGTCGCCGATTTGACTGGCATTGCCTTATTAGGTGAAGGTCATGGGTTAAAACCGTGAAATAAAATTGTTTATTAGCCTCGTTTCATGATAACTGGGTTATTTTGAACATAACTTGACATAAATTAGATAATATTATTAAGTAGAAACTGAAGAAAAACAATAAAAATTAAATATTGGAAATTTATGATACTGACGACACGTTTGGCTCAGTTTGTAGTGACTCTACTTGCTGTGCCAGCGGTCGCGGGTTCGAATCCCGCTGGGACATTCATTTGTGTGATGAGTACGAATGTTTGTACTTCAGTTATGGGTGTTTATATTTATAATATGTATTATATTTAAAGTTATATATGTGTAGTGTATCAAGTATCTGGTATCCATAATACAAGCCTCGTAGCTTACCATGGAACTAGATGGTGCTGTGTGTTAAAGTCCTTACAAGAAACACAAACGTGAAGATAGGTCATTATATTATCCACCTGCCCTTTATATTGAGATATTTAGGCTATATCTAGTCTAACTATCGAGAGTAACAAGGTTAACCACTTAGGTGACTAACAAAGCTTTAGTTTCATACCAAAATAACACTCTATTTATATTATATAATACGACATTGAGTGATAAATAATTTATGGAATTTAATCATGTCTATTGTTCAACGCCCCGATCTGTATAATAATAATTATATGAGAGCCTATGGTCACCATCACTTTGATAACTTATGGTTAAAATCGCACATTTGTGAATATCACTTTGAAGATAAGTTATTTTACAAATCAGGTATGAAACTCTATAAAATATTATCGCCAAGTAGAACGTGAACTCGTGACCTTCTCTTAAGTTTGCTGTTCAAATGAAACATACAACAGCACTACAGCCTTCGTCATAATAGTAATTTCTCCTCAAATTGTACATTTTCATCCATTTCGAACTAAAACATACTTCGCAATATTAAGTTTAGCTCATTAGAACCAACCCAGCTGTGTAACAGTATATCCTCGTTTTCAGGTACAACGTAATTAGGCTGTGGTTCCCTCAACTGTCGACGATCGTGGAACATTATAGTGGTGTAGATAATAATCACAGCTTATGTGGGATGTTGGACGCATATACGTATGACTTGAAAATGAGAGGGCTAAATGGAACGGAAAACGAAACTTGTGTTCCGGTAAATTTTGCTTGCATCATGAAGGCTCTATTTCGAAGATCTTTTTCATAAATGCTCATAATATCAGATTAATGTTCTACATGTGAATTTGTATGTATGTATGTGTATGTTTATGTCACTCCTTCAAGGTGAAACAGTTGAAAAGGTTTTAATGAAAACATACTAGATATAGATAGGTCACTCTTAGCATCCGAGCCAAGCAAGGATCTGTGGTGACTATGACGACATTAACATTTTTTTAATAAGTAATTCCTCGTTACGACTTGCTAATTGTTATAGTGTAGAGAAAAAAAACTATTTTACGCTTGCGGCTTCATTCGAATGGTACATCTACCAGAATATTTTATCCATCATTAAATAAATGAATTTCACTCAAGTTCGCTGAGCCCTTGTAGCGTATAATATATATAATAGCTTTATTTCTTTTTGCATAAATACGTATATAAAAATTGTACATCAATGTTTTTTGGAATGGCTTACCTCTGCTAAAATTCCATTCTTCGTCACTGTAGTATATACACACGGCTGCTGCGTCGCCAGTTCCCTTGGCTTAAACTTGGCTTGATACGCTACCGCGTGTCGAGAACACTTATATAAAAATATTCACATTTATAATTTTAATGTGACCTCTTTACTAATACGTGGTTGGATGAATGATGAATGTATATTTTCACCTTAATAATACTCACAATATTTTTCAGAACGTCAGCGGTACTGAGACATACATCAACAGTATCGTGTTAGGCTCCACGTGCATTATCCCATATATCATTGGAGGAGTTTTGGTGACAAAAGTGGGAAAGAAAAATATGTATATAGCTTGTGGGGCAATTTGTACATGTGCCACACTTGCCTTAAATTGGGCGACGTCTAAAGCGGCTATGGTGGCACTCTTCTCTTCAATTGTAGCGCTATCCCAAGTTATGATGAGCCTCAACCAATTTTTTACGGTTGATATCTTTCCTACAACAACAAGGTAAGTTTTAAAGAAATCTATCTTTTCGGATTTATTTTGATTTTTAGTTCCCAACGTTTTATATAAAAATGTAATCTAAGTACCTTAAAATTTTGCTAATTTTAATTTTAAGGTATTGAAATTAATTTGTTATCCTTACTATTTACATACATATAAAGTAACGGACAAGTGTATTTTTTGCATATAGATAATTAATTTATGTGACTGAAAGTGCTGTCTATTTATCTCGATGTGAATACGTTTTCATCGAATATAATTCTATTGGAAAAGTACCTAAAATTAAAAAGAGTATGATCATATTGGTACATACATATGTTAAGGGATATATTTGGATAGCCTTCAAAAAGAAGGAAGTACTCGATTTTGTGTGTGCTAAACAATATCTTACCCAAATATTGAATCGATTCCTGTATTTTATTCACGTTACGTAGACAGGCATTTTTAGTTCAATTTTCTAAAACGTATAAAAATCTAGGTATAATATAATGGAAATTAGATAAAAAAATATTAAAATTGCTAAGAATATTAAATTCACTACAACGGACTGTCAAGTGAGTTAAAAATATGAATATATTCGAATTTATATTAAACTCAGAACGTAGCAATAAAAATAAATTAGACACGCAATATAGTGAGACGTTGTAAAATTACAAGGTTCTATTCGAAATTTTTCAGTATAACTTTTAATATTTATTAACATTAATTAGATACGCTTGTAACTATAAAATCAAATCTTAGGTATCGATTTTAACTTATTTCTAATTGTTGAATCTATTTGAAATCATTCAAGTATTGGAACTGTAAATGACAATACAATAATTTGATACCATCGAGAGGATCGAGAGGAGTCGTATAATGAGACTATTTGAAGCTACTAATAAAGCCTTTGTGTTTGGGCTCATTTGCTTCGGGTTGACGAATTTAGAGAATTGCGCATGTGACATAGAAACATGAACGTACTATATGTACATACTTATAGTACATAATAGTACATAAAACAATCTCTCTCTCTCTCGCTCTCAAAAAGATGTATATAGACATGTACGTCATACAGTATGTATCCGTGTCATATTATTTATTTCTGTTCATTATATATTATATATTGTACATAAAATTCAATTCATATGAAAATTGATTCCGGGATTCCGGGGAAATTACCCGTTACGTGGAAAATTGAACCAGAGGCTGAAATTGCTAGAAAAGATGATGTCATTAATTACATTGCCCGTCTTATCTTATTTTTATTCACAATGCCCTGGTATAATAATGGTGAAAGTTGAAAATACTGAGTGTGTAATGAACAAAGCGTGAAGATAAGCTTCACGGAAAGGGTCAAACGGGTTAGGCATACTAAAACGTCACCAACGTTTAATGAAGATTTCTTACCTTTTATTTATTTTTCTTTATGTACCTAATACGCTTTGCTCGGGTTCTTCCCTAGGTTGATTCCCCATACAAATTTTCATCCCCATTTTCACCCCCTTAGGGGTGATTTCCGGAATAAAAAATATCTTTTATCCTTCCCAGGGTCTCAAACTATCTTCTTACCAAATTTCATCTAAATCGGTCCAGTAGTTTTTAAGTTTATTCGTTAGAAACATACAAAAATACAATTCTTTATAATAGTAGTGTAGATGTAATACATCTTTACTCTTCATTTCAAGTTTCTACGCTTTAAATTCAGTTATTTAAAACACAATCTAACAGTAATATGTTTGGTCAGTAAAACTGTTATATCGTCATTGATTTGAATGCCATTCATACTTCATAATTAATATTATTTTTAATATTTATAGTACATATTTTTATTTTTCGATTACAACTAGCAATGATAAAAACGTGTATGGCAAATGTCATGACAGTGGGTACATGTCTATTGAATATAACAACAATAGTTTGGGCCTTCATAGAAATAATCAAATACTCATTAATACGTACAAGGTAGCGTTAGATATTTCAAAATAATTATAAAATATTGTATTTTTAATGGTTCTTTTGAACGTTTTTAACTATACAGGTTGTCCCAGAAAGTAGTGTCAGGCGGAATTCCAGAGTAGCTAGCACCCCTTGGGTAACCCGAATCACCCCCATGTATGTTACGCGATTGCTCAGTTTTTAAAATTTATGAGAATTTTGAAACTGAACAACTTAAAAAAGTTTTAAAAAATGTAGAAGACGTTTTTTTTGGCAACTGAATCTTCATGAGTTGTACTTTTATGCTTAAAATATTTTTTTACTTAAATCAATATTGTTTATTGTTGAATTTCGACCACTGAGCGAATACTGGTATATATAAATGATTAACTAAATGCAGATACAGGATCTGTCTCTGTGCTACGGCAGCTATCTATATTTTATAATTTCATTAAGTGCTTTAATTAAACTATTATAGCCATAATAGATTCTGCTTGTCAGGAATTCTATTCATATTCAAGTTTATAGTATAGTAGCTTAACCCCAGTGCAATCTGCCAGAGGCAGATATGTACTGTACTCTGCTACTCCATTAATGTTCTTGACGCAAACAAATTATGAAGCAAATGTCTTGGTTTACCTCAACTTGTGGTTACTTAGAGATTATATATATATATATATATATATATATATATATATATATATATATATATATATATGTATATATATTTCTTTATATAATTTAATAAGTATGAAACAAATGAACAGACAAAAAGCTTATTAGTTGATTAAATTTTTGAACTTTATGAACTAACTTAATTTTAATTTATCTTTATGAAAGTTCGTCAACAATGCCTTATTTTTTTATTTTTAGGTAAACTTTTATACATGCTTATTTTTATTTCAAACGAAATAGTATACATACATATATATGTATTGTCAAAATTCAAGCTTTTAATGTTAGTTTGGAATTTCACTTAGTAAGAATCAAGAAAAGAGAGAAAAAGCTGCATATTATATAAATTCTAAATACTCATTATAAAATATTGTAATAGAAAAACATAATAAAGTAATAAGTGTCATGAAATTCTACGCTATATAATGGGAAAAAATATTATGGAAATGACATCCAAACGTTGCGGCACGTAATGAGAATTTGCGATGTCTATAATATTTTATTTTCTACAGACGATATCGATTGTAGAGCGTCAACATGTCCAAGGGGGTTGAACAGACAAAGAGAACATATGATCACTGGTGACAAAAGACCTAGTTTATTAACGTCTAAAGTATCGTCATTTCAATTCAGCAGTGGAATGTATTAAAAATTTCTGCTACATTTCTTGAGGACTTGCTTTATTTATGTACTAGCGACTCACCCTCGCTTTGCTCGGGTTCGTCCCTACCTCGATTCCCCATACAAAATTTTATCCCCATTTTCACCCCCTTAAGGGATGATTTCCGAGATAAAAAGTATCCTATGTCCTTCCCAGGGTCTCAAACTATCTTCTTACCAAATTTAATCTAAATCGGTGCAGTAGATCTAGAGATTACCCGCTACAATGTCACAAACTCACATTTCACAAACTTTACCTCTTTATAATATTAGTATAGATAAACAGACAAAGACAAAACAATTTAGTATCTCTTTCTAGTCTGTTTCTCAATCGATTTTATTATTTTTATTTAGTAGCTAGCTTTAAAATTTGTTATGATTAAAAAAACTTTTGAGACAGTTTTTTTTATATAGGTAGGTAAGTTTTATTCACAAAAGTTTACGTCTAATTTTTAATATAATTATAGTTCAATTTCTTCCACTTGGCAAATACTATCTATATAATAAACAGTTTGTTTCGTATTTTTTATTTATAACACTTAAACTTTTCAAAAAGAAATTCGGTCGAAAGGCACAGGGGAAAAAGGTACTGGAACTTTTTTGTCCTTGCCTATTTACATGTACGTACATCTATACTAATAATAATAAAAAGGTAAAGTTTGTGAATTGTGAGTTTGTGATATTATATGGGGTGATCTCTGGATCTACTATACCGATTTTAATGAAATTTGGTAAGAAGATAAATTGAGACCCTGGGAAGGACAAAGGATACTTTTTATCCTGGAAACCATCCCTTAAGTGGGTGAAAATGGAAATCAAAGTTTGTATGGGAGATCAACCTAGGGACGAATCCGAGCAAAGCGAGGGTGAGTTGCTAATATATATATATATATTTATGTATTCTTACCCCTTAACTTAACTCCTTAATACCTTAATATACATTGATATATATTTTTCTATATCTTTCTCCTTCCGATAAACGATGTTTACGCAAAAATATGCGTCACTCTAATTATTCGTTGCTGAGGTTAAGAAGGACAAACCAACAAAAAAACACTAACGTGTTTTCTTAATATGTACGCAAGGGGTATGAAAAAATAAATTATATACAACCCAGTAACACAATAGCACGTAATAAAACCCCTCTGCTAATATTGTACTATGAATATTCATATTAAACAAGCAAATAGCTAATTTCATACGTTCTAAGCAACCTATAAGATATTAATTTCTTCGTTATTTATGGCTGCAGGCGAACCGATTATTATCGTTTTGATTAATTGTATAATAAAATTAGTGTTAATAAACACGTTGAACATGTTATAGTGCAGCGATATATCAATATTGTTCTAACATTATTATAACTTTGCTATGATATAAGGCGTAGGCAAATGAAGTGAAATGTATACCTGGTTATTTATTAGATAAACGTCATATTTTAAAGTTTTGTATACATTTCTCAGAGATGAGATATTTTCCCGCGGTAAAAAGTTATCTATATGTTGACTCGGATACCCAGCTATCATGATAGCAAATTTCATCAAAATCTGTTCAGTTATTTTTTGTTGATACGTTCCCAAACAGACAGACAAAAATTCTTAAAACTATAGATTCGGCCTCTGTATCAACAATAATGACTATTTAAAAAAAAATATACAAATATCATACCGATACGGATACTTTAAGCGCCCGCCATTTGCGCGCTTAGCGTGACGTCAAAGTACCATACATAGAAAGATGACGACTTTAGTTTGTAGCGAAGAAATCGTTAATCGCTCTGTTATGATAACACATTGACATCATATTATCTACATATATTTGCACTTTTTAACATTGGCTCTTTTAATTAAAAAGAAATTACATTAAAAAATATTGATATAGGCTTTATTCAAAAGCAATAAAGATTATAAAAAGAAGATCACCTTTATTTAAATCACACGTATACTCTCTATTATGAGATTAAAAACAATAGAAGAAAAACGAATTTATGATAACGCACGCACTTGTGCACTAAGATAACTTGAAATGTCTCCTACGCAGATCCAGAGGCTGTAGAGAGAGAAGAGAGAACTACATGTCAATCAATAAAATATCTCTCTCAAAAAATTAAACGATTTTTGCCTCGTTATATGTAGTTTTTGTTTATATATAGCTCTTCGTACATAATATCATAAATTTTATTTTTTTAGGTCTCTAGCTGTATCTCTAACAATGACATTAGGTCGCATCGGCACTTTAGTTGGTAATGTTTTATTCCCTATATTATTGGATATGGGTTGCACTGTGCCTTTCTTCACTTTAGCATCGACTATGGCTGGTAAGTTATTTTAAAAGAAAATATTTTTTGTAATATTTGTATTAAAAATAAGTAAAATATTTTAGCTAAAAAATTTCTTTGTAATTGATATATTTTAAAAATGTTCTTATGTTTTTAAGCACTATAGAACATTTTTTTTCATTTAGGCAAAAAATAAAAAAATGAATATTGGTACTATTTAGTTATAAAGAAAAAGCTTAAAATTTAATACTCCTACATAATAAGTTAACTTTTAATTTACTCTACTATAGTAAAAAGTTCATTCACTAGTAATATCTTTATATATATATATATATATATATATATATATATATATATATATATATATATATATATATATATATAATTCTTCTGTGAGTGTGTATGTCACTGAACTTCTCTCAAACGACTGGACCGATTTTGATGAAATTTTTTGTGTGTGTTCAAGGGGATCTGGGAATGGTTTAAATTCACAATTTGAATAATAATTTTCATCAAAAAAAATATTAAAAAAAGTTTGAAATTTTCAAATTAAAGACGTTTAGACAGGACAACGTCTGTCGGGTCCGCTAGTATCTAAATAAAATTCAAAAGATAGCCTTTTTTTCTTAAAATAACAATTGTTCAACATAATTATTATATTAATATTTATTTTGTTTCAGGTGTAACCCTATTAAGTTTTGTGATACCATCGATTAAAACGTGACATCATGTCACGTTTGTGAAAAAAAATATTTTTAATTAAAATGCCTTTTATTTTTAATCATATTTTGTATTATATTAAATAATATTAATTATGTAAAATAACACAGTCAGAAATGAAGAAATATAGTCTATTTTATTTACTATCCATATTTTAAGTAAGATGCATCTGGCTGAAGATTTGACCTAGGCATCTCTTCATCTAGAGTTCAGACGCATCTAATAATTCTAGTTCCCACGGTCTAAATTTGTGACGAGACTGTTCTATAAAATTGTAAGGTGAATGTTTTCATCAACACAAATTTGGTTAACAAAATTTCAAATACTGCTAGATGACAAAGAAGCTAGTTATATGAGGCTCAAAGTTTTTCGAAACCTTAAGCTTTCACGCAATATAAGAAAATACGGTCCGGCTCAGAAGGCAGTTCTGCTGAGAAATGCCAGCGAGAAACTCAACAGTTGCTCTTTTTAAATATAATAATAATTTACAATATATCATTACAATAATTATTTTTTTATCCTACTTGAGTATCAACTAATAGTAATCCCACACATTTGCATGTCTTATTATTATATTGGCCAATTTACTTTATTGGTTGTAGAGTGTCTATTTGGATAATAGCTTATTTAGAGTGGGTGTAAATATAGTAAACCATATCTATACATATAATAAAATTGTAACTAAGTCGAATTTGTACATTAAATATTTTTTGGAAAACCTTATTAAAATAAACATTATTTTCGATACAGAAGTCGAATCTATAGTTTTTAGAATTTTTGTCTGTCTGTTACCTCATCACAGAAAAACCACTGGAGGGATTTTGATGAAATTTGGTATGGTGATGTGATGATGATAGCTGGTTATCTGGAAAAACATATAGGATACTTTTTACCGCGGAAAAATATCTCAATTCTGAGAAAAAATACAAAAACTGCATTGTAAGAGTATACTAATATGTAAAATCTAAGAATTTGGTTTTTGGTCATCTGAACGCGAGCGGAGCCGCGGGCAATGCTACTGTATAGATATACAAGTAAAACTAGGCATGACATATTAGAAAGTTACGCTTACTTAAGCCTATTAGGTCGATTATCCGGACAGTAATTACTTTCAAAGTAGTAAAATAAAACAAAGCATCGAAGAAACAAGTTTAAGAGTAAGCCTTTTGCATGTACAAGTAATTTCATTAAGAGAAACTTAACTTATCCATTCAGAAAGGCACTTTGAAACAATAAACTTCAAAACTATATTCTTAAAGAAATTGGATCTTGGTGATCCTTGTATAGTACTAACATCTGTACAAAAAAATTCATAGCCCGTCTATATATAGAAATAAGATTCAAATTTGGTAATGTTCTGTTCTAGTTTGCCTATTTTACTTGAACTCGACCGTACTTAGTTATTTATCAAAGCCGTATCCAGTTAACTGTAACTCAGCCTTTGAGTCTACGCTTAAACCAACTTGACATCTAACTTATTTTTTGTTATTTTTATGGATCGATTGTAAGTTAAACTTATTAAAATATTTTCTAGATGACAAATGAAACATATTGTTTGAGAAGTTTACAAGAATTCAATAGTTTTTTATTTAGACATGAAATGAACAGAAAACACTGTAAATATAACTAATTTTATAATTTATTTAAATTCCATGTTAAGCTACGAGGCTTGTGTTATTGATATCAGATAGTTGATACGTTACACATATATAACTTTAAGTTCATACATATTATAAATATAAATACCCATGACTGGAGTACAAGCATTCGTGCTCATTACATAAATGAATTCCCCCAGGGAGAATTGATCCCGCGACTGTTGGCACAGCAAGTAACGTCACTACAAACTGAGCCAAACGTCGTCGATATGACGTTATTAATAATGGTAGGGGAGCCCAAGAGGGGATTTTCTGTAGTTACTCGAGCGCGGCAGATTAACATAAAAGAGGTTACCTTGCACTCTATTGAGTACTTTCACCACAATATAAGTCTTCTATATAAAGGGGCGCGTCTAGGGAAGCCGATTAAAATATTTAAAAAATGTTTTGGTAAGGTAGAAATACTTGAAACCGTCAGATTAAGGTGTGGTAGGCTAGTCACATCCTGAAAAGTGTCCAATTTAATAATCTGCCGATTTGCACAAGCCTAAGAGGCAAAAATCATCATAAACTTTATTTATTATATATATATATATATATATATATATATATATATATATATATATATTTATATGCATATATATAAATTAAAACTTTAGCAATAAACAATTATATTTAATTGTTACTGTTTTACTTTTACTTAGTTGACGGATAATCTAATGATTGCGAAATTACCTTAATTATATAAAACTCAGATGTACGAGAAAGTGAATTTAACCTAAAGAGATAAAAAGATAAGCCTAATATAATGACAATTTAATAATATCGACGTGTACTTATTGAAAATAAAACGAAACGTAAAATTTTCATAGCAATGAATGGTTTCAATTAGGTATATCAAATGTTCAGTTTATTTGAAAAGATTACGGTATTTGACTACGGAATTACTTCATGGAAATCTTATCACGAGTATATAATCCTAGCAAATAAAGTGATGTGATTTGCTCTGTTGAGGGTTGAGAAAATAGATAATCTTATATACAGTAGTAAATATATAGAATTCTCTTCTTTTTATAACAATAGTAAATATATATAAGGCTCCTAAAAAACATAAGGATTTGTGTGTTTATGCTTCAATTCTCAGAAATATTTTATTGGATTCTCCCGACCCAGTATTTTTTTTCGTAATGTGTAGTACTGTTGGCTCTATATATATATATATATATATATATATATATATATATATATATATATATATATTGGTTGGCAAATGCATTTACGTAAACCACTTGTATAGATGCTGGCGGTTACGTGGGACACACCGGCTAGAAAAACCAGTACTACCCACTAAAACCCAACAGAACCTCTCCCGTCGTAATAGGGTGTCTCAGGATTGCTTATGCACTCAACTCACTTTGGTGAATATTAGCTCTACTGGCCTTTACAGTGTTAACCCCAAAGACTCAAATCGGAACCCTATTACTAAGCCCATGCTATCTGTCCTTTTATCTGTTCTTCTTTGACTTTGAACTGTAATAAGTATAGATAAATATTATATCTAAATTTATCTGCTACGCTTTATATAAAAACACTTAAGAGCAGCTTTTCTTTCTAAATATATTGTTTAAGGATACTGGTTAAAGAAATAGTTTCTTTTTCCTTAAGTTGACAAACATGGAACAAGGCTTAATCAAACGGTCATTAGGTTAGAAGAAAAAGCTTTTTATGTTAATTGGACCGGCATTTGAACGTCTAGTTAGTAGCTAGAAATCAACTGTTCTGTTGAACACTGTCCAAATTGTTCTTTCAGGGACCATCTTGTAATGATATATTCAAAATCTTTTCATCCTTCATTATAATATTAATATTGCCGTTACATTTTGCCTATTCTCATCGAAATAATAGAAAATATTTAAGACGTTAGTGACTTCTTATTTCTGCACATCAATGTACCTTAATTGTGAAGCATTTATTTAAATTTTGTATAGAAATGTAATTTAGACTAAAGCTCTAAGTAAATAAACGCTTCAACAAATTCCAATAGATAAACAAGTCGATGCTTTTATACATTTTGCAATTTATCCACAAAGATGTTACATCACGAACTGAGATAATTACGATGTTGAATAACGTAAGAAGTCTCTAAGGGAAAATTGTCAAAGAAACTTATTATAGCCTTTCATAGCGAGTCTTACGCAAATCTGTCAATTTACCGAACAAAAGCGCGTACTTAGAAAATAAACTACGCCTAAAATTAGAGTCCACGGTGAAAGAACTATCGTCCCATAGAATAGTTTGGGTTGCAGGGTCCTTCAGTTTTGGTAAAATTGTATAATATAATATGAGAAGACGTAAGCAGGAAACATGTAGGGACAGCCACTTATTAGATAGGACGATGGTATGCAAGATAAACTCGACCAAATATCATCAAAATAAAGAACGGCCTTTGCTTATTTAATATTCTCTTTTTTCATAACATTGAACATTATAGTAAATTCTATAAATATTGCAAATACGAAAGTTTGGATGGATGGATTTGTTGATTGATGATTTGTTACTCAATCACACCAGAACGGCTGAACGGATCGGAATGAAATTTGGCAAAAAGATAGATTATAGTCTGGAATAGTATATAGGTTATTTTTTATCCTGGAAAAATGTATACTTGTTTTTTTTCACAGAGCAATGGATCAACTATCTATTCGAACGAGACGAACAAAATTTAATTCATCATATTTATAAAGGTAAATTGAATTTTCAACTAAACTGTTAATATACATTATAATCGAAGATATCAAAATTAATAGGGCTAAAGGATTAACCTTAACTGAAATTGTTCTAAAGCTGTTCTCTAAATAGCTATTAAATCTATTGTATTTTAGTGAATATGTAACACTTATGTATTTCTTACACACTGCTTTTGTATTGAACATCAAGAAATAGTATTACAATGCGAAATTCGATCTCGTCCCTTCATGGCGGCATAAATATTTGCATTCAGATTCTATTGTTATGACCTTTGTGACATACCAAGTGGCTTTTAGCCTCTATTCACTACATATTGGATGAATATATTATATATTTGCTACGCTTTCGATTTATTTAATACAATTCTCACTTGATTTAAAAATAGGTAAAAAAGTTATAAATCTTCTCTTTCTAAACTTGTTTAGTAAATGTCTTAGTTTAAAACAAATTCAACAAACAAGTCAAATGTCCACTAAATATCGCCGGTTATTTTTAGAAATAAAATGTTTTTTTTTGAACTTATAATAAGTATAATACTTTCTTAGATTTACGCGAGTATTTGACATTTTGAATAAAACTATCTTTTCGGATCATTTCGCGGATTTATTTTGATTTTTGGTTCCCGACGATTTGGTTCCCGAAATTTTCAATTTTC